ATATATTTATTTATTTATATAAACCAATTACAGGTCAGGGCGACCATTGTGCAAAACCAGCTTAAGGAGACCGGACCTATATCATAAGTGTACACATGGAATGGAATAAAATCTACAGAATAGCATTCTGCACACTTTGAATAGTACCAAAAAACACCGTTTTATCTTCTTTTGACATTTGTGTTAGACATAGAACCATAAGTGATCGCCCTATTTTTACTAACAAAACTACCACTATTAGGGCAACCACTTCCACGCTAAACCCACTATAAGCTTTGAGGTGACCGTGTACAAATGATACTTGTGGTGACATATGTTTCTGGAACAAGTACCAGTATTGGGGAAACGTATGACATATGTATGTGTCTCCCTTACCCTGGTATTTGTTTAAGTCACTAAACAAACATGTATATGTCACCACAAAGAACATTGGTACATGGTCACGTCAAAGCCAATGTTCAGTTGAGCATGAGAGCAGTTTTCCTAATGCTGACACAGTTTAAATCTTACTCACTGATTTGACTTTGAAGGTGACATTATAAATCTCCAAGTTGGATTGCAACAACATGCAGTAAGCTTCGGTACCGTAGGCGAATGGCTTTCTACCATGTGTCTCTGTGTTCACTACCCAGCTATCTTGTCATTGAAAGTGCAGCAAAGACAAACATGGTCCTGGGTTCAAATCCCGGCTCTTGCAATTTACTCTAGGGATTTCATTCTGGATAGTTCTGTCTTATAGCAAAGAAACATTGAGAATGGAACTGCTATCTCTTTTATAAGACAGTACTGTGTTGCAAGGGATAGAAAACCGAACCAAGCACACCGCATTACAAGTTTCTCAAAAGAAGAATACACCGAGATATCCAAGTTGGAAAGTTTAAAAAAAGCAACAGAACAAAAGTATATCATATATTTCTCAGAAAAGTGTATTCATGTTCTCATCTTCCATTTTGATAAAAGTAACTTGTTAATGTGACAAATGACAACGTGCTAACACAATATGTAGCGCATTGTACTTTAGACTTGACTTATTGAAACTTTAGTAATATCATGCATCAATCTCAGTCTCACTATACATGAGGCCTCGATATTGTTACTAGTTACAGCTACATTAACACCTCACAGGCGCAAACACACACATGGACACACATGGGACACACATGGGACACACATGGACACACATGGACACACACATGGACACACATTGACACACATAGACACACATTGACACACATTGACACACATGGACACACATGGACACACACATGGACACACATGGACACACATGGACACACACATGGACACATATGGACACACATGGACA